TAGCTTTATCCATCCAACTCTTACTATAGTATAGAGCTAATTAAAAAACATAGAACATATTGCTTCTAGCATCCCTCTCTTTAATAGGTAAAAGAACAAGGCATTGTAGTTGTCCAGTGGTCCTCAGGGAAGCCCAAGATAATTTAAGGGTAAAAGACATCGTGAAATTTTTATTTTTCTGATTTTAGGAGTTGATTCTGGGAAGGCAAAGTCATAGAGCTTATGAGAGGAGACTGATCACTTGATTAATACAGTCAGATGCCTGAAAGCAGCACTTCATTGTAGCTTGACTGTCTGTTTAGAGTGACAGTACAATATTTAAAAATAAAAGGCCCTGTGGTGGCATAATTAAGCTTCTTGGTTATTTCAGGAACTTCAGTATGTTTGCTGTTACTTACCTGTTTTAAGAAATCGAGGACACAAAATCAATATAAAGCACAAATCATTATTCTGAGACCAGAAGCTGCCACGTAGGAGGGAAGGTTAACAATAACCTTTTCCTACCTCTCATGGAGGTGGAATAGAGGCGCTCACTCTGCTGATGGTCATCTGGTGACTCGAGAACTGGTTAGATGATTTCTGATATACTAGGCTTTGGAAACCAGTAATTTATGTATTTTAGTAAACTTTCATAAGGAAATGGGCTTAGTGTGATTTCTTTCAAAAATGGTTAACATTTAGAGTTCTACAGTCATTGATCACACCCATGCATAATGTAGATAAGAAGTTTGGTTTTCCAAAACAGCTTTCTAAAATAAAACTAGTGCATGTATTCATTTAATATATATATTAGTTCAGACTTTGCTTATTGCCACTAGGTCCAAGAATACAGCAATGTTTAGGGCAAAAAGTGCTTCCTTTAAAGCACTTTATATTCTACTGAAGTGAGGTGACGGATAACATATAAGGAAATGAATAAATAAGATACAATTTTAGATAATAAGCTTTATGTAGCAGTGAGTAGCCCGAGGTTATTTTTATAAAATAAAAATAATTTGACTATCCAAAGTAATCAGTGCTAACATTTTAATATATCTCATTCTAATATGGGCTTTAACAAATTTAACAAATGGAATATTATTCTATAGTTTTGCAAACTACTTTCAATTCACAATATATTACAAGCATTTGCATTCTCTTATAAAATTGTCTGTGTGGCTTCATGGAACACATTGGTTTCTATGACTATAGCATGATTTATTAAAGTTAATTTGTTCATCTTTAATTATTTAGATTATCCTTCATTTTTTTCCTCATTTTGATCAATGTTGTACTGAACACCAGGGTTGTTAAATATATATGTATGTGATTTTTTTCTTGAGAGTAAATTTCTTACACTAAAACTATTGGCCCAAATTATATTTACATAATTTCAAAAATTTAAGAATGTGATGCACACATTGCCTTTTCAAAATGCTACAATAATTTATCCTCCAATCTGGCAGTTCTTGAAGCTTTCCATTCATTCTGTCCTTGGTAACCTGTGGTAATATTATTTCTTTTTTTCTTTCAATTTCATAGGAGAAAATTTCCATTTTTATTTGAAGATGCATTTCTTTATTTTTTCTAAGATATAATTCATATACCATAAAATTGAATATACACTTAGTATATTCACAAAGTTGTGCAACCATCACCACTACAACTCCAGAGCTTTTCCATCACTCCCACTAGTGGTCACTCCTCAGCTGCCTCGTCTCCCAGCCCTTGGCAGCCACTCATCTGCTTTATATTTCTGTGGAGTTTTGTCTATTCTTGACATTTTGTATACATGAAGCAAAAGTTGCTCAGTTGTGTTCAACTCTTTCCGACCCCATGGACTGTAGTCCGCCAGGCTCCTCTCTGTCCATGGGGGTTCTCCAGGCAAGAATACTGGAGTGGGTTGCCATTCCCTCCTCCAGGGGATCTTCCCAACCCAGGAATCGAACCCAGGTCTCCCACATAGCAGGTGGATTATTTACTTTTTTGTGTCTGTGTGTGTACATGGAGTCGTGTTTTTCTATCTGGCTTTTCTGCCTTCACTGTTACAAGGTTCATCTATGTTTTACCATGTATCGGTACTTTATTTCTTTTTATCTGCCTGCGAGTTTGATCCCTGGGTTGGGAAGTTCCTCTGGTGAAGGGAATGGCAATACACTCCAGTATTCTTGCCTGGAGAATCCCATGGACAGAGAAGCCTGGAGGGCCACAGTCCATAGGGTTGCAAAGAGTCAGACAAGACTGAGTGGCTAACACACACACAATATTCTGTTTTATGGATATACCACATTTTGTTTATCCATTCATCAGTTGATAGACATTTGAGTAGTTTCCATTTTTTGACTATGATGAATAATGATGCTATGAACATTCATTGATGAGTTTGTTTTTGTGTGAACATAGTTTCACTTCTCATGTGTGTGTGTAGAATTAATGAATGGAATTGATAGGCCATATCGTGAAACTTTGTAAGTTTTTGAGGAGATGCCAGACTGTTCTATTGGCTATACCATTTTATGTTCCCCCCAGCAATGTATTGAGGTTCCAATTATTCCACACCCTTGACAGCCCTTGTTATCTTTTTTTTTTTTTATTCTAGCTATCATGTTGGGTGTGAAGTGATGTCTCCTTGTGATTTTGATTCACATTTTACTAATGACTAATTATATTGAACATCTTTTCATGTACTTACTGGTTATTTTTATAGGTTCTTTGGAGGAATGTCTATTCAAATACTTTGCCCACTTTTAAATTAGACTGTCTTAAATGTTGAGCTGTAACAATTCTTTACATATTTTGGAGACTAGACTCTCATCATATATATGATTAGCAAAATTTTCTCCCATTCTCTGGATACCTTTCATTTTCTCAGTAGTGTGACTTGGTGCACAGAAGTTTTTGATTTGGATGAAGTACAATCTATCTGTTTCCTCTTGTTGCTGTCTCTCTGGTGCCATATCTAAGAAACTATTGCCTAATCCGAGGTCACGAAGATTTATACCGATGTTTTTATCTAAGAGGGTTCATAGTTTTAACTTTTACATTTAAGTCTATGATCTATGTTAATTTTTTAATAGTGTGCTGTTCTTATACATTTATTTGTCCAAATGAATTTTACAATATTGTTATTTAGTTTTAAAATGGTGCCAAATTTTTAAACTAATACTGTTTAATTTGACGTTGTTATTTTACTGTATGTTTCCATCCAGGAACACTTAAGTTTTTTTTATGTTTTCATTGTCTTTATACTTTTCATCATTTAGATTTTGAACAATTCTTATTAATTCCAAATTAATTTACCTTGGTGTTGAGAGGGAAATTCTGGGATTTTTTTTTTTTAATATTGGGTTTTCTATCCATCATCTTATAGAATTCTATTGGTTCTAGTTTTTTTTTTTCCTTCAAAATTACTTTTATATTCATCCTTAGGGTTGGGTAAATTGAGAATGTAAGTAAATTGACTGCTCATGGTTCAACTGAGAGCAAATTGATTGCATCTAAGGATATTGTGTCTGTCTTTGTGTATCTACAAGTGAGTGTTGAGAAGAGTCTGAGTAGGAACATGAGACAACTTTCTTAAGGATGTTTTCTTGGAATTAATGCTATTTGCCTTAGAGACCTAGATTCCCAGAGCTGGCTTATCCATTTCCAGTGGTATCTCCTCACCTGGTTTTGCAAGGAACTAGGAAACAACAGGTTATTGTACATGGGATGCAGTTCCACGGGACCTATGGTCCATTAGCATACACATTACTTAACTGTTTGTAGCTGTTCCCCAAATTTTTGGATACTACTGTGAAAAAAAAAAATAGTTTGACTTAGCTTTTATCCCGTTATTCTTGGAATACTCAGGTTTCTGTGCACAGATTTCAAAGCTTGTTCAAGTCTAACTTGATATCAAAGTAAGTGGCAACTCAATTTATGCTGCAGTAACTTTAAGCATTCCTGAGGATTGCCACAGAGATATCTGCAAGGGGGCTGTCTGTCTAAACAGATTTTCAACGCAGCTAAAACCTGTCCATTTTGGAGAGAGATGTCTGAGAACATCCATCAGTCCAGAGAAGAGTATTCCGTGGTTCTTAAAGCTCCAAACAATCGTACTCCTATTTAACATCCTAGAAATGTGTCTAGAGTTAAACCCATCTTGGAGCCTTATGAACAAATGCACCCATGGATAATCTTTTGAAAGCAAACAAGTTATTAAATTGAGGAACTTCTGTATTCTCACTTTTTCCAAGAAGCTTTCCCTTACCCCTGCCTATCCTCAAGCTGAATTACTCCTTGTCTGATACCTCTTGAAACTTCATTTCACTCTTCTATGGCCTTGACATTTTCTACTGTTAATAGTATTTGTGTTATTCTTGGTCCCCTTGTATGGCCTTCACTGTGCCAGAAGATCCCATTTGATCGGGCATCTCCCACTGCACTTACTGAATGCTTTGCACACAGCAGATGCTCAGCATGTGAAGTTCTAAAGAAGAGTATTTTGCTAACCTGTAGTACCTGTAATGCTCTGCTGAAAAATAAAGTGTAATTAACCTCAATTTTGTAGTTTGGGATTTTCAATACACTACCCTCCCTCCAAGAAGTGCCTGAAGGTTAAGCTAGAACAAGTATTAACATGCTTCAATCGCGATAAGGATTTGAGGGCCATCTTCATCTTTGCACTGACTAACTCAGGTTAGTCAGGGAAAAACCTTTTCCTCTGTGCAACTCAACCCCTTCTCTGGCCTCTCTCTCCCCTCCTGTTAGTAAAATACTTTAGCCTCCGCCTTCCATGTTAACAGATTGTGCCAGTGCGTGCCCGTCGTCTTTGGATGATTAGAGACGTTCAAAACCTATTCTGACACGCAATTCTCCCTGACTTCCACTTCCTCTACTTCTTCGGGGTGGAAATAGTTTCTACGCTTTGAGACGCTGGCAGAGAAAAAGAATGGGGAGAAAATTGCATTTAAACTTTGAAAAGTTGAGTCACGGCTGGTTGCTCAGCGAAAGCTCCGCAAAGTGGAGAAAGTCGAAACATGGTTTGGGTTGCGCGGAGCTGGGCTGGGGCGACTTCTGGGGAACCGGCGGGGCTGAGCCCCTGGAGCGGCGGAGGCCTGGGCCAGGGCCTCCCGCCGCGTCCCCGCACCTCCCCCGGCCCTGGCTCTACCCCTCGGGCTCCCGGGGCACGGATGTCGCGCGCTTGCGTCCTGCGGCCCGACCCAGACACCCGCCCCAGAAAACCCGGAGCGAGTAGGGGGCGGTGCGCCGGAAGGGAGGCGGGCGGGGGGCGTGGGGGGTCGTGGGCGTCGGCGGGTGGAGACGTATTAGATGTGACGCCGCGGCCCGGCGGGTAGCAGACCGGCGGACGCGGTGTCCGCGGTGGCTAGCGGTTCCCGGGTGCTGCGGCTTAGGGAGGCGGCCCTCCCGAGAGCGGCGGCCGCAGAGGCATCCAGCCCTCACCCCCCGATCCCGGACCGCCGGGCTCCCCGCGCTCTAGGGCAGGCGGAGAGGGAGGCGGCCGAACAGCTCGAGGCTGGGGGCTCGCGGGCGCGGCCGCGTGCCGCGGGGAGGGAGGTGGCGGCTCCCCGCGCGGCTCCAGGGGCTCGGGGACCCCGCCAGGGCCTTGGTGGGGCCATGGCCGCCGGGAGCATCACCACGCTGCCCGCCCTGCCGGAGGACGGCGGCAGCGGCGCTTTCCCGCCGGGCCACTTCAAGGACCCCAAGCGGCTCTACTGCAAGAACGGGGGCTTCTTCCTGCGCATCCACCCCGATGGCCGAGTGGACGGGGTCCGCGAGAAGAGTGACCCTCACAGTGAGTGCTCCCCAGGTCTTCCTCCCGGGTGCCGTCTTCATCCCCTGCGGTTCTCTCCCCCGCCCCTGCCTCCCAGCCTCCGCGCTCCTTCTTCCTCTTCACTGTGACCCCAGTGGGACTTGCGGTTTCTCTCCGCTCGGCCCTCGGCGGTTTCGGGCTCACCACTCGCCCCCCTCCTGCCCCGAGCTGCGGTGGCGGTAGACGCTCCTCCAGCCTTTGGCGTGTGCCGGCTGCTCAGCTAACCCAGTCCCCTGGGCCCCGGGCGCCCGGGCTTCGCCGGCGGCTCCCTGGGCGCAGACAACCTGTCGTGTCGGGGGTGCCGGGCGGCTGAGCAGAGGCGAGCGGCTCAGCGAGGTGCCGCCCGCGCCCCCAGCCTGAAGTTGCGACCCCTTCTACGGGATGCCTGTAGTCTCCGGGGCAAAGCCAGGAGGGACCGCAGACCAATTAACAGATCCTTGTTGGAAAGATTCCTTGCATCAGGTTTGAGGATCAAATGAGTTGGAAGTAAGCAGGGGACTCAATTTACTAGTCTACAGTGCATTTTCTGTAAAAATAATAATAATGTATCTGTGGTAATAGAAATAAAGTTGGTCTGAGTCGTTAGTTGTCAAAGTGGGAGCGCATAAGAATCACCTGGAAGGTGTGTTTGATGTGTGATTCATGGCTGAACCATCTCCCCGAGTTTCAGGTCTGGAGTGGGGCCTCATTTGCATTTCTAACTAGTTCCCGGTGATGCTGACGTGGGAGCACAGTTTGAGAACCCGCTGGTCTAGAGAAGGAGGAAGGAAAGATATAAAATAGGCTGATAAAAATAGATGAGTTTGAAGTGAGAGAAAGAGATCAGATATTTTAAAACTCATCCTGTAAGTGTAGGTAAAACTTGTTTTGAAAGCTGTTTGTTCTGCCATTCCTTCCTTAATCGATTTCAGCTGGAAAACTTGATTCTCTTGTTTTTTTTTTTTGTTTTGCCTGAGAAAAGAACCGCAGGAGGCCTTCTTTACATTGTGATGCTAATAGTGTGTCCTTTGGGGCTCTCCAGGTGATGCCGGTGGTAAAGAACCCACCTGCCAGTGCGGGTGATGTAAGAGGTGCGGGTTGGATCCCTGGGTTGCAAAGATCCCCTGGAGAAGGAAATGGCAACCCACTCCAGTACTCTTGCCTGGAGACTCCCCATGGACAGAGGAGCCTAGTGGGCTGTCGTCCCTAGGGTCACAAAGAGTCGGACACTGAAGGGACTTAGCAAGCTCTCCCTCTGGGATGAGAGTTAGGAAGAGGAGAAAACTCTGGCAGCCAAACCTAGCTGACAAATTCAGGAATGGGAAATGTCCCTTCACAGGAATTGGTCTTTATTCATTTCAAAATAGCAACAAGCAAAGGAGTCAGGTCTGTAACTTTTTTCAGGCCTGCTGTAATTAAACAATTTTCTCAACCACTTACATTATCCAGTAAAACCGAGAAAATGCTTGTAGCCCAATATATCGGTTAGTGCTCTCTATTTCAGTGACTATTTAGGTTTCACAAAATTATCTTTCTGTGTGAGGTTTATTCTGTGCTTTTCTGCCAAGGTAGCCCAGCTGAACAGGGCAAGGTGCACATATGTCCCAATTCGTTTTGCTCTTTTCTAGTAGCACAAAAAGGATTATGTTCTTTGATGAGAAGACACAAGAACTCATCCCCCCAATTAGGTTCTTATTGGGGCTTCCTCTAGTACATTTTCCCCCAGACATTTTATGAGTTGCAGGTATTTTCTTTGGAGCTCTATTTCCTTTAAAACAAAACTGTTAGGGGCTGGGCTTTCCAGGTGGTGCAGTGGTAAGGAATCTGCCTGCCAATACAGGAGATGCAGGAGACGCTGGTTTGATCCCTGGATTGGGTAGATCCCCTGGAGCAGGGAATGGCAACCAACTCCAGTATTCTTGCCTGGGAAATCCCATGAGTGGAGGAGCCTGGCAGGCACAGACCAAGGGGTCGCAAAATATCAGACATGACGGAGTGACTGAGCACGCACGCATGTATGGGAGTTAGTAAGGATAATTCTGCATTGCATATTACTTTACCACCCTTTTAAAAACAACTGTTAACTTTTTATCCCCAGTTTTGGGCTGGGCCATCATTACTGTGTTCTTATTTTAGCTCAATGGTCTGAAATGGGATTGATCCTCTCCAGGGGACATTTGGCAGTGCCTGGAGCTGTTTCCACTCGTCTGGGCTGGAAGAGTGATACTATCATTTGCTAAGTAGAGGCCAGGGATGTTACGGTGCACAGGATACCTCCCAAATTCCTCAGCAAAAGACTGTAAATGTTAATAGTGCTAAGGCTGAGAAACCCTGCCAACCTGATGACTAGCTAAAGACCTTTAAAGTTTAAAGGTAAAGAGTAGAGTACTCATCCAGACTTGTGGAGAGCACTGAGTTTTAAAAATCACCTTGTACCAGGTGATAGACTGACAAGAATATAAACCTGAAAATGATAAATTTAAATGACTTTTGTATAGGCCAACCTGGACATATGTTTAATTAAGGACAGTGGTTTTTTTTTTTTTCCCCCTGACGTATCAAAGGTGACAAAACCAGGAGGAGACTGGTGGGAAATATATAGGAAAAAGAATGCCATACCAGTAGCCTCTTAACCATATCCCCTCCATTCCCCTAAAGGAGCAAAACTGATCAGCAAACGTGGAGAAATAAAAGCTGTTAATGCTTTCTGCAGCTTCCCACTGAATTAAGGTTCAGATATCTAGATGTATTTGAAACATTGGGAAACCCAAGGCCCCCTCCCTTAAACTGTTTTGTCCATACACCCAAAAATCTATCATTGGAGATTTATTCCTTTGGCATTAACTCTCTATCCAGATGTTTCTAAAATGCAAATGCAGTCTGCTCTCCGAATCCACAGTCTCCGTATGTGGTGACGACGGCCCTACACCGATTTCCACGAGGGACTCGCGCCTCGGCGGTGCTGGGTGCCTGCGGGAAACCCTGGGCCCGGGTCCTCGTGATACAGGGGAGGAGGCCTCTGGAAGGACGAGTGCAGCAGTTACCGGGTTTTAACCTTCCGTGTGAACTAAACTGTGCGCAATTTCTTCCCCAAAAGCTGACCAGAAGGACTGGAGTTGAGGGGGGCGGCTGTGAAGTCGGTGGCATGAATGTGGGGCGCTGGCCAGGGGCGGGGGACGTGGTTAGGTTCTGAAGGGACACAGGGCAGGGTGGTGTCGGGCCGGGCGGCAGCTGCAGGAAGGGCGGGCCGGTGACACCGCCAGTGTTTCCAGCGTCCCAGTTTTGCTGGAGATCACCTGTGTTCCTCCCCGGGTCTCTCTTGAATTGTTTCTACATGAAAAGGCCCACTTTCCTGCACTTTTCTCACAATCCTGAAATAACCTGTGTTTGACACGAGTGTGTTGGTAAAAGCAAGATAAAGACAGGGCCAGCCTGGGTGCCGCGCACCCACCTTCCCTTCGGTGTCCTGGATGTTCTGCCGGGCCCCTTCCACTTGCCCACGGGGACGTGGAACAGAAGTATATGCTCGGAAGTACTGAACCATGTGAAAACAGAAGACAGCACATTTTATCCCAGGCGGCACATATGACATGTGCTGGAGCATAGTAGGGGCAAAGTATGCTGCTTGTGTACATTTTAGCATTAAATTTATTCCAGATGCTTTTATTTTGGAAAAAATGAAGGTAGTTAGAAGTGCTGGATCGACCTTTGGGTCTTCTCCCAGGAGGTGACTTCTAATGCCATTTGTGTGCAGTAAACAAATGAAGTAAGAACCCAATAGCTCATTTGATTGTGGAAATCGTGCAATTGGCTCAGCAATGAAAGGACAATTCATGAGTCATGGATATTACCACACCTTAGGAGCCTTTTAAAATGAGTTTGGTGCCAAATGACTTCAGCCCAGAACTGGCAACCTCCTCTTGTGACATGCCCTGAGGGCTCTCTCTGTGCTTATAAAGTGGCCGTCCCATAATTAGATTTTGACAGAGGTATGAAAAGTGGATTCTGAGTATTATGTTCAGATTTACGATGTTTTAAATGGATAGCTGAGATTTTTAGGTGTAATTAAAAAACATTATAGGCGAAACAAGAACCATCCTCAATACATTATAAAATTGACTGTTCGTCTACACAGTGATTCTCAGAAGTTACGATCAGCGATATTGAAAAAAGGCAGTGTAAGGTCTCGCATTATTAGAACTGTTATTTTCTGGCCAAAAGATGCCTGTGGAACAGGGAGGTAACTACTCACATGCCATTGCCTTTACTTGTTTTTCCAAACCCGCTGCTTGGGCCCCTTTGTCCTGTAACAAACATCTGTAAGAGACTGGCCTGGGGTAACCACTCTATTACTGGGAATTGGAACAAGACAAGTCAGCACATTTGGACTTGAACCTTAACCTCGTTACCATATCCTCTCCAAACAAGTATTCTTGGTTCTATTTTGTTTTTGAGCTTGTCATTTTCTGCACTCTGAAATCAGGGATCTGGTCTTATGCTTAACTTGTATGTTGTCAAGTGTTTGGCTGTTGACAAAATAATTCAAGTCACGATTATCTTTGGGGAATTTTCATTGTGTCCCTGGTAAAGAATCTGCCTGCAATGCAAAAGACCTGGGTTTGATCCCTAGATCGGGAAGATCCCCTGGAGAAGGAGTGACTACCCACTGCAGTATTCTTGCCTGGAGAACCCCATGGACAGAGTAGCCTGGTGGGCTACAGTGCCTGGGGTCGCAAGAGTTGGACATGACTTAGCGACTAAACTGCCACCACCACATCAATGGGAAATGCAGTTGTGGCAACATGATTTTCAGTGTTTCCTTACTGCGCCCATTGTTGGGGGTAGCTATTGCTTTCTCTAAGCTAGGTTATTTATGGCCATAGGAATTTAGGCAGGGAATAAAGGAAAAATGGCAACTCCTAGGAACTTCACCCATTGAGCCACAGACCATAGTTCTTAGAAACCAGATTAGTCCCATTCTAAATTCCTGTGGGATCGTTTTA